GTCTCGGGCATGTTGAGAGATCGCCGCAGCCCGCTGAGTCTAGATTCTCGACCGTCAATATGGAGGTGGCCGCGACACCACAAGCAAACAATCCCGCGTGGATATGTAAGGAGAGCAAAAAAAAACACTCCTGAGCTGGCCCTGGAACAAGGGTATGCCATGAAAGCCTCTTGGCGCTATGCCAAGCAACATTGGAACCTTGAGCCAAAATGGCTACGGAGGAGGGGGAGGAGGAGGAGGAGGAGGAGGAGGAGGAGAAGAGGAGGAGGAGGAGGAGGAGGGGGAGGAGGAGGAGGAGGAGGAGGAGGAGGAGGAGGAGGAGGAGGAGGAGGAGGAGGAGGAGGAGGAGGAGGAGGAGGAGGAGGAGGAGGAGGAGGGAGGGGGAGGAGGAGGAGGGGAGGAGGAGGAGGAGGAGGAGGAGGAGAGGAGGAGGAGGAGGAAGAGAGAGGAGGAGGAGGAGGAGGAGGAGGAGGAGGAGGAGAGAAGGAGGAAGAGGAGGAGGAGGAGGGCGGAGGAGGAGGATTCCTTTCTCGGCTAGGGGAGGAGGAGGAGGAGGAGGAGAAGGAGGAGGAGGAGGGGAGGGAGGAGGAGGAGGAGGAGAAAGAGGACGGGTCGCCTAAGCCCTTCGGAGAAACCCTCCAGGCCGCTCCCGAAAAAAGTGGAGACTCCCAAAGGCCGACGTCGCGGAAAAACACTGCGACGTCGGAGGACCGGCAAGGCCCTCGGGGGCGGCGTACAGGCAGCGCCCCGAGGTATAGTCCCAGCTGGCCTCCCGGGTTCCCTCGACAGCCTGCGGCGCCTCCTCCTCCTCCTCCTCCTTCTCCTCCTCCTCCTCCTCCTCCTCCTCCTCCTCCTCCTCTTCCTCCTCCTCCTCCTCCCTGGCGCCGCCTCCTGGCGGCGGGTCTGGGCGCCGAGGCCGCCCCGGCCCACTCGGGGGGCCTGCTGCGGCCAGCCGGAGCTGCCGGGGGCGGCTGTGTGTTGCGCAGTCCGAGGCCTCACGGCCTCGAAGGCGGAGGGCAGAGGGCAGCTCTTGGAGGGGGCTGCACGCGCTTCGGGTCTCTGGGAGGCGTCTCGCCGCCGCGGCTGGGCACGCGTCGAAGCGTTCTCGTCAGAACGATCTCGGGCCCGGGGTCTGCAGCAGGGGGGCCCTCGCCGGGCCCAGTGCCAGTCAAGAACACGAAGCAGAATGCTCAGCCGGCCCCAGGGAAGGGGCCGAGAGACCTCGTGGGGCTGGGGAGGACGGAAGCTGCGGCCTCGCTGCTGTGCTTCTTCGTCGCGCGAAGGCAGGCCCAGAACCCCCGTCCTCCTGGAAACAATCCTGCCTGTACTTCCCATCTCCCTCCCCCTTTCCCCCTATCAGCCACGTCCTCCCTGCGCCTCGCTCACCTCCCTCTTCGCTCCTCTTGCTCCTCTTCCTCCTCATCCTCCTGCTCCTACCCCGCCTCACTCCCCCTCATCTTCGCACGTCGCTCCTCCTTCCTCCTTCCAAGCACTATCCGATATGAATATGACGGTATTTTTTTTCTCCCGACTGCGTCCTGGAAATGTATTCCAGATTCCCAGTGATTACTTTCAATCGGAACGTTACCGGAGCGTCCAAATGGAATTCCTGCTTCAGCGCGGGACTAATTCTAGGATCAGCGCTTTGCTTCCGTGGTTCAGAATGCGCTCTCGCCCAGCGCGGGCCACGTCTTCGGTTGTTATCGCCCCTCTCCGTGATCCTCTCCCGCCATCCTCTGGTATCCTGCTCCTCCCACTCCTCCCACTGCCACTCCTGTTCACGTTGCTGCTGTTCCTCCTCGTCCTCATCCTTCCTCCTCGTCGTCTTCCTGCACCCCCTTTGTACGCAGCTCCCCTTTCCTGATTTCGGAGTGGTCCATGTCCGCTATGGAACCAGTCGGCGGATAGACAAAGAAAACATCTGCGCAATGGACAGGGTTGGGTGGGATGGGCAGGATGTCAGATGTTGCGCGAGCGCGCCTAGCTTGGCATTCCCCCTATCCCCTCCTCCAACTCCTACTCCTACTCCTACTCCTCGCTCCTCGCTCCTCCTCCTCCTCTTCCGCCTCCGCCTCATCATCATCAGCATCATCATCACCAGTAATAGCATCATCATCACCATCAGCTTCTTCATCATCAACAGCATCATCATCGTCGTCATCATCATCAGCAGCAGCATTATCAACATCACCTTCATCATCAACATCGTTGTCATCTTCCTACTACTCCCCCCAATCCTCCTCTTCCAAGAAATCCTTCTCCTCATCCTCTTCCACCTCCCTTCCGTCCCCTTCCTATATCCTTCCTCATCGTATCTCTCAGACTGTCTCTCATCCCTCTCCCCCCTTGTTTCGTTTCTCTTCTTGGTTATCTTCCCTTCCGTTATCCAATTTCACCAGCCTTGCACTCCGCCTCACCCGCCCCACCCCCCTGCTCCACATGTCAGGTTCTCGAAACTCTGGCGCCCCAAACATGCCATCTATTGGAGGGCCGACGTTTCTGGAACCAGCCACATGTCATGTCATGTCCCTCTCCAAATAAGTCCCTTCATCCTTCCTTTCCCCCGCTCTCCATCGTCCTTTGCATCCGCTTCCGACGCCATATCGCCTCCTCCTCCCCCTCTCCCCTCCCACTTACACTCCTGCCCCCCTCGCCCAACTCGTCCTCCCTCAACCCCGCATCCAGATCCATCTACTGCTCCTTCCACTCCTCCTGGATTCCTGCCCGTCCTCGTCCTCGTCCTCGTCCTCGTTTCGGCATCAGTCCTCCTCTTCGTTCCCTTTTCCCCCTCCTACTCCAGCTCCCCCATCAAGCCCTGCTTCCAGCTCATTCAACTCGACCTTCTTACCGTGTTCCTCCTCATCCTGTCTTCCCCCCCCATCATCCGCCTCCCTCCACTGCCGCATCCCTCCTCTGCCTCCTCCCCCTCCTCCTCCTCCTCCTCCTCCTCCTCCTCCACCTCCTCCTTAACATCACCATCCTGCCCCGCATTATGGTATTTTGCTCTCCCTCATTCCCCATGGCGCCTTTCCTTCTGGTCCTCCTCTATTGCGCCTTACCATCCCATCATCTTCGGCATCTCTTTGCAATCTTTCCAATGCAAGCCAGTGGGACGAAGACCGAAGCCGCCAGGGGAGTTGGCTTGCTTACTCTATTCGATGCGAACAGCACCAATCACAACTTGAGTCTTGCACATTGGTTCGCATGCGTGGCCCGCCGACCTCCTCTTCCAGAGGGTGCCAGAGGTTCTAAAAATGTAAAGCCCTTCCCCTCCCTCTGTCCCTCCCCCCCCTTCCCCTCCACCGTCGTCCTCCCTACTCCTCCCTTCCTTCTCTTCGCTCCCTTCCTGCCTCGCCCTCTCCTCCTCCTTTTCCTCCTCCACAACCTACTCCTCCTCCTCCTCCTCCTCCTCCTGTCCCCTGTCAGCCTCCCCGGGCGCTTGCAAGTCCGCGCGCGGGAAGCTTCCGAGATCGTCCAATAGTATGATCCCAGGGGAGGCCGGAGTAGCGACCCTGGAAAGCCGATAGCGACACTCCCCCGCTACCCCCAAATTGCAAACTCAGAGTTGGCGTGCGCGGGGGAGACTGCGGTCAAAGCGCAACTCATCAGACCCACCGCACGCTCTGAACATTGGGGGGGAGGCGTTTGCCGATGAGTTTGGCATGCGTGTTCGCCAGTCTTTTCCGAGGCCGGTGGCCCCCAGAGAGCCCCCAAGTCGGCCCCAAAAAGGCCCGCGATGGCAACGGACCAGGTCCATCGAGCCACAAGCGGACACCGAATGGGACTCCCACGACGCCCCAAACGACACCTCGGCACAAGAGCCGCCACTCGGCAGAGCCGAAGAGCCGGCGAGACCGCAGGCAAACGCCCGCGATGAGAAACTCTGGGCAGGCGGAGTGAGCGAAGCGACGCGAATCGTTCAACAAAACTAGCAAGAGTCAGCGAATATAATGTTTACATCTGTACACCCCTCGACGGCGATGGCCGCCCAACTACCATAGGGGTGCTGTGCTCGTGCGGTGCAGGCCTGACCACCTTGGCGAACGGGGCTGGAGACAACGACGCGGCCGATAGCGTCATCCCGCCAGCGTCGACCGCACAACATTCGAATGGGCAGATGAGGACAGGTGGAGAGGAGAGGTACTTGTAATAAGGTCTCTGGCAGGTCATGCCCCAGCGATCAAGAGGGCCAAGCCAATTGCCTTATCAAGGACCTCGGCGAATGAGGAGGTAGGCCTGTCTGCCTCACCGTGCAATTGGTCTCTGAACGTACCTCTTTCGATTGTCCCTGGTCCTAAGATGTTGAAAAGGATGGGGAACTCAAGCTTCCAAGATCTAGCCCCACCAGAACTACCCAATCTGGCACGCCTTCAAACTCAGTGGAGGTGGTGCTTGACCCCCTCGATTCGAAAGTACTTGCGATCTCGACGACATATCCTTCTCGCAACTAGCCTTACTAATCATCCGCCTTGTCCTTCTCCTCCCCACCAGAAGCCGCTCCAACCTGACTCCCAGGTCCATTCTGAACGGTCCCATCGTGTACAAACTTGGAACAGTCTGCGGGCCCGAGAGGCCCCCAGGACACCGAGATCCGCCGCTGCGGAAAAAAAACAGCATCGCGCCAAATCACGACTGGAGCCCTAGAGCTCCTCTCTCTGCTAGATCTTACGAGCCAGACCGCTCCGTCGTGGCCTCAAAGCCCGAAGCTGGGCACTAAGGCACCCGCTGCGATGCACAGACGCTTCGGCAGGGCCAATCCGGCGGACGAAGTGACGGAACAACCTCGAGTTAGGTCGGGCATGCCCCTTACAGGCGGATACAAAATAGTCCAAAAATACATCAACACGGTCAACGAATACTAGAAACATCGTCCCCAGACTAGTTCTTTACTATTTTTGAATACTCTTCCTGTAGAGGGACAGGCTCGACTTAATCCTAGAGCGCAGAACCTGCCCAGGCAAGGCAGGCGGCAGCGAGCCCGCGGTGGAAACGCCCCGCGCCTCGAACAGGTCGTGCCGGTGCGACTGCGCCTCCTCCAGGTTTCGCCGGACGGCCTGGGCCGTTGCGAGGCGGGGACTTATCCATATCCACCGCCTGGGAACCGATGGATATGGAGCCCCAGCGGGCGGTGTATGAGGAGGGGAAGGAGTTGGAGGAGAAGGAGGAGGAAGAGGAGGAAGATGAGGAGGAGGAGGAGGGGATGGAGGAGGATCAAAGATCGAGGAGGATTGATGAGGATAGAGGAGCACAGAGTATAGAAGAAATTTGAGGTTTGGCCCCCAGGGGCCCGAATCTATCCATGTTCATCGCCTGCCGAGGTCCACGAGAATTGATCCTCCAGGCGGTGGTCATGTATACACTCCCGCCTCGGAGCCGCGCCCCCGGGAAGCTGCACAGCCGCGCGCCGCGGAGGCGCCTCGATACCCAAGGATGCTCGCGCGGTGGCAAACAAACCCGACGAAAGGTGAGCGCGTTAGAAACTAATAATAATAAAAAATCTGCGTTTCGACATTGGGAGGACGGGGGGGGGAGGGATGGGGGTTCTGGCTCGGGACAGCTGCTTAGCGCGGCAAAACACTGAATAAAAAAACGATCACGAGGCTTTTGGCCGTCTCGACTTCGGGACATACCCGCGCTGGGCTCCGGGACAGTCAGAGCTTAACTAGGGATAAAAAGCCGGCGCTGGGGAAAGGGTCGGGGCTCCCGGGGACAGCACCGCGTATGGAACAAATCGAAACATTGGAAGTCTGGGCACGAGGCCGAGACACAACCCCACGAAGTAAGAATGAAGGACCCCGCTGGGGTCATCAATACCAATATCCGTTAGCAAAAGGATCACTTACCGGGCGAAATATAGCAGAATTCGCACATGGGCATCACAGATATTTGACATAGTTTCTCCCCTCGCGTGGGCGCAGGAATTCCTTCTGCTGGACCCCTACTGGGATCCGAATGGGATCCTACTGGAACCCCTGTGAGATTATATTGGGATCGTGCTGAGATCCGATTGACTTCCGATTGGGAACCTATTGGGTGGGATCATGTTGGGATCCGATTGGGGTCCTATTGGGATCCTCTTTGAAGCCGATTGCAATCCGATTGGGATCCGATGGTGACACTATTGAGAACATGTAGGGTCAAAGCTGGATTCATGCTGGCTCGTATCGAAGTCGGCACGCAATTTTAACCTAGTCTTTAAGATTCCGCTACGACCCAATTCACGATTTCGAATGGTAAGGGTTCGCGTATCTTTGGCTAACGAGGCCAACAAGGCCGCAGTCACCTGAACTAGATTGTAGACTGCTTCATAGATAATAGTTGGCAACTGTTTGCAACAACGCATTGTGTTATGGCATGGATTCACTGTGCTCCTTGTCCCTCTTGTGACGCGGCCCTGAATCTACATGTTGCAGCGTACTGGCCCCTACCGTCATGAACTCAAGGGGCATGTAACATACGGCTGCGTGTGCTCCTGGAATTAGTCTGCGGTGCGATGTGCAATGTTTTACTGACCTACCTGCGCATCGTCCTTAAACTGCCACATCGTCCTGGCAGAACAACCGCGCGCGGCCTTTTCCGTGTCCGCCACGCCGCTTGTGGGCGCCGGGCTGCGACACATCCTGCTGCACTGCTGCAGTACAGGAATTATCTGTCGTCTGTACGTTTATCATGCAAGAGGTCCCCAAGTCGGTCCAGGAGGGCCCCGAACATCAACCAATACCCAATACCCTCAGAGAGAGACACCTGATCGTGAGGGGAAGCAGGGCTGTTCAATACTTTATCCTAGTCGTAGGTTTTCCCTCCAAGATGTCGCACGCTGGCCTCAAGACAGACCCTTAGGTCGCAAGATAGGTCCCAGGTCGCCCAAGATGGGCACAAGATGGCGGCCTGCAGATCCCCCGGCATACCACGAACGTCGTCCAAAATTACACCCCAGACAAAAAGTCACGAGTCGACCCCAGAAATGCAACATACTGGCCAAGATGGCCCCTAAGGTGCCCACCTGGAGGCGCCAAGATGCGCCCAGCGCCCAGGAGGCTCCCAAAATGCCCCACGGGCAGCCCCTTTGAAATGCACCGACGGCGGTCCGAGCCCGAGATGCAGCAGAGCTGGCGCCGCCCGCGGAAGGCGCAACACCTCATGCTTCAGACCACCGAGGCTTGCCTGGACGCCCGCCGCATCCCGCACATGATGGGGTGAGCCGATGTGATCACGAGCGCTCAGCGGCGGCCTTTTCCGAGTGCTGGGCTCTTCAGTCGACCTGTTGTGTTACCGTTGCGACGTTAACAAGTTGGACGCCGCGGTCGGGTCGTCCAGGAATCACCACATCGCGGTGCACAGGCGGAGGAGCAAATTCCCCCATCTCCTCCTCCGCCTCCTCTCTCTATCCTCGTCGTCCTTCTCGTCCGCGTCTCATTTTCTCTTGACAATAAATATCGAGGAGCTCAATCGGTGCTCATACGAAACGTATGGGACGTGCTTACGAATGTCAGCAGAAACACATACGAAACGTACGCGGAACGGATCAGAAACGCATGCGAAACGTGGGCAGATCGTGCACGAAACGTACACGCAACGTCTATGACGCGTAGACGGCGTGTCTGCATCATACGTAGATAATATAGGAGCCGCAGACGGAAGGTTATTTGAAACGTGTATGGCACGAATACACAACAAGCACTGGAACCGCAACCGAAACGTACTTATCAAACAGGAAGGGCACCTATATAGCACATGTACACAACATTTAAAAGGACGTGTAATAACGGATACACAACATATATCAAACGTAGGTGAAACGTACATGCAACGTGTATTAGATGTGGATCGACATAATTGGAAGTGGATTTCTATTGACACACAGATCGAGAGTAGTAAACAAAACTGCGAGGGGCTGGGATCGGTGATTTCCGATTGAAGCCCGACTGAAAACAGCACATGCAAAATTCAACAATGTTGCTGGAGGCTGGGGTCTGCGAATTTGCAACTGCATTCCGAATGAAATAAACAAACAATATACTGAAGAAACCTGCAGGAGGCTGGTGTCGGCGCATTTCCTGTTGGATTCCGAATTGGGCAACAACTACACCAGTGGAGAATACTGCGGGGGGCTGGAGTCGGCTCATTTCTTGTTGAAGTCCGAATGGGGAAGGAGTCGGCTCATTTCTTGTTGAAGTCCGGATGGGGAAGAAATATCATGCTGACGAATTATTGTGCAGGCTGGGCTCGGCGCATGTACGAATTACCCGCTTCCATTACAAACGCACATGCTATACATATGCAGTTCTACACACATATCTATATGTATGCATTTACGTACATCTGCTGGAGGCTGGGATCGGCGCCTTTCCTCGCACATACCCAAAGGCGCAACGATGATCGGCACCTCTCCTGCTCACTTCCTATCGGGAACACAAATGGAAGCATGTAGAACTAGGAAAGCCTGTAGTGGGGAACGTGCGAGTAAAAGGGGCAAGAGGAAGGAAGGCAAGAGGAAAGTAAAGGGGGGTCGGAAGGAGGGGTCGGGAAAAAGGGTCGAGGAGAGACGTTGAAAAGGGAGGTCGAGGAGGAAGGGTTAGGAGGAAGAGGCAGGACCGTGTGCCAGGAGGGGATTTCAGGAAATATGCCCAGGAGGACGATTGAGTACGGTTCAGGGCGACGTTTGGGAACGGAGAGGTGAGGATGGCTGAATAGTAGGGCTGAGGAGGGCGGGGAAAAAGCAGGCCGGTGAGGAGAGAGGCAGTGGAGGGTGGGAGGGGGAGCAGGGTCAGAAGGGTTGAAGAGCAAGGTTGGGTTGAGGGGGGGGGGCAAAGAAAAACTTGGGAGCAACTACTGGGAGGTTTTCGTCGGAAAGATGAAACAGGGATTAAGCCCCATTGGGGGGCTGTTATGCCGGAGTGGGCCTCGGATTAAGCGGGATTAAGCGGGATTAAGCGGGATGAAGCGGGATCAAGCCGGATTAAGCCGGATTTCGGACCAGGGCAAAAATAGGATTTGACCTCCCAGGAGTTGCATCCGAAAGGGTTGAAGAGCAAGGTTGGGTTGAGGGGGGGCTGGGAAAAAAAGGCGGCGAAAAAAGTATTCAGGATGAGGGCGCGAAGTGTTGAAGAGGACGGTTGGGGCGGAGCGTCGAAGAAAAATGCCAAGCGGCGCCAGGAGCATGGTTCAGGAAGAAAATCTACGCGGGTGAGGTGATAGGGAGGGCTGGGGTGGGACGATGAGGAGCAAGGACGGGGGCAGACGAGCGAGCGGAAAACCGACTCGGGCGAGCTGGTCCGAAAGCGTTCCCCAGTGCGGCACAGCTGGGGCCGAAACATCATTCGCATGCCTTGCTGGACTCTGAACTCTGGGCCCGATGGGACGGAGGACGTAGAAGGGAAGAGGATGGGACGGGGGTGGCCACCTGCTATACTGGATGGCAGAGCGTGCGCGTACAGGGGGGTCCTCCACCTCCTCCTCCTCCTCCTCCTCCTCCTCCTATTCCTCCTACCCCTCCCGCCTCCGAACCAGGAGCCCTCCATGAATCACAATGGATGCATACAGAGGAAGAACCTCTCAAGAATTCGCGTAAACACGTCGAGGCCAGCAAGAATCCGTTTGAAATCCATCAGGGAACCTCACAAACCCGAATCAATCCCGCAGAAGACCCTCAGGAATCCGGGTGGGGTCGTACGAATCGTAAAGGAATCCAGAGGAACCCGTCAGGAAACATCAGGAATCACACATAAATCCTCAAATAATCACCACCAATATTTAGACATCCCTTCAGAATCCCTGAGGAAACCTTACAGCAATCGCCTGACACCCACAGGGATCCTCCAGGAATCCTTCAGAAACTCCAGGAACCCCACCAAAAAACCGTGCGGAATCCTCAAGCATCGTTTAAGCATCCTTCAAACATTGTAGGGACATTGTTAGGGATCCTCAGGACACCGCCAGGAATTCTTTACTCAGGAGGCCCAGGGGCACCCGTCAGGAATCCTTGCAAACCAGATGGGATGTTTCAGGAATCCTTCAGAAATACCTCAAGGATCGTTGGGGTTCTTGGAAAACCGAAGCAATCCGATGGAAATCCTCTCAGATCACCCAGAAACCTTCAGCAATAATTTAGAATTTCTGGTGGAAGCACACAAGAATCCGTCAGGAGTACGACCAGAATCTTCATAAACCTCAGCGGTCCATCAAGGATGCTTCAATAATCCATTACGAATTATCAAAGATCATCAAGAACCTTTGGGATTCTCAGGAATCCTCCGGAATCCCTCCAGGCTTCCTAAACATCAAATGCGAATCCCTTGGACTTCCCAGGAATCCCTCAGAAACCCGTAGGAATCCAGGAGGGAATCGTGAGGGGAATCCTGAAGAATCCATCGGGGATCACCTAATCTGGATTCACCTAGGAGGAATCTCCAGAAATCCCGGACTCCCTCAAGAAACCTCACATGGAAATCTTGAAACAAATTTGAACCAACAGGAATCTTTCAGGAATCGATCTGGAGCCCCCACATATCCAAAATAATCACGCAGGATGCCTCAGGAAATTTTGAGCAGTCGCAACCAACCTGTAAGAATCCGCGCGAAACCATCAGAATCTCGGGAGCCGCGCGATACTCGCTAAAGATTCCTTCAGGAATCCTCGTGAAAGCCTTGGAGCAATCCTTCGATATCAGCAGGGGTCCTCAAGGAATCCCCGAAGATCCCTGACACATCCCAGAGAAACCGTTAGGAATCCGAAGGAATCGTTCTAGAATCCTTCAGGAAGCGCAGGAAGCTCAGGAGAAGCCACCAGGAACTCTGGAGGAATCCGATAGAAATCCTTGGGGGCCCGATGGGATGTCCTGGATTGCTTTAGGAACCGTCAAGAATCGTGCAAATCATTGGGGATCTAAGGAAGCCAAGAGACATCCTGACAAATCCGCAGGAAACCCTTCGGAATCCTCCAGCACACCCTAAATAATCCTTTAGGAAACCGATTGGGATCTTGATAATTCTGGAGGATCCCTAGGAATCCGATGGAATCCGGAGGAAACCCTCAGGGACTCGAGAAAACCAATCCGAATCTCAAGGAATCCCTAAACATTCTCGAAGAATCCTTGGTGATCCCTGTGGAACCCATGAGATGGATCCACAGGAATTCCTACGGAATCTCCCAAGAATGCTCAGGAATCTGCATGAAACTTCAGGACCACCTCGGAAATGTGTGAGGGGGCCTTGGGAGAATCTTCAGGAAACCTCCAGGACTCTCTCAAGAAACTTTAGCCGAATCCTTAGCCATCTCGGCGGAAAGAGCTCCTCTGGAATCCTTAGGAAGCCGCGGAGAACCCAGGAATGCCTCAGGATTCCCTTGGGGAACTTCAAAATTCGTCAGAAGCCTGTCAGGAATCCTGAGGAATCTCCCCGAATCCTCAGGGATCCGCAGGAACCCCTTAGGAATCCTCAGAAATCTTCCCGAATCCGCACGAATGCCGTTGGAAATCCGTCAGGAATCTAAAGGGATTCTCCCGAATCCGAAGGAATCCTACGGAATACCGAAGAAATCCTCAGGGACCCGAAGACTCCTCAGGAACCCGTTCAGAAATCCTTCAGATGTCCTTCAAGCATCCCTCAGAACCCTCGAAGCATCCTCCGGTAATCCTCAAGGATCCCTCCGGTATCCTTCAACTATCCCCCGCGAACTGAAGAGTCTTGCAGGAAGCCTTGAAGGAGCCCACGGGACTTCTCCACAAAACCAAGAAAACGTCCTCAAGGAAAGGCTAATCAAGCGCCTCTCATGCGCCTGTGTAGCGCGTGTCAAGCGCATCCAGACCTTGGAGGCTCTCATAAGAAAGGTTGGGATCTGGACCGTTCCAGTTTCATTACAGGTTGGGAGATGGACCGTCTAGTTGGGATCTGAACAGTCCAGTTGAGATCTGGTGGACCTTAACCCCCCTGTGGAGCGAGGGGGTCGGCGTCGGCGTCGGCATCGGCACCAGCGTCGGCATCGGCATCGGCATGGGCATAATCATCGGCATCGGCATCAACATCAGCATCAACATCAGCATTAGCCTGGTTGTCGTCGTCGTCGTCTTCCCCTGCCTTCCTCTCTGCGAGCTCGAATGGGACGAGGCGCCGTTTTCGTCGTCGCCGTCGCCGTCGTCTTAGTCGTGGTTGTCTTCCTCGCCGTCGCCGCCGCCGTCGCTGCCGCCGTCGCCGTCGTCGCCGTCGTCGTCGTCGCCGTCGTCGTCGCCGTCGTCGTCGACGTGATCCCCCACAGTTCCTCTGGGGGGGCCAGGCACGTGGGCCCTGGGACCCATCCCCTCAGGGGGTGGGGGTGGGTGGGCGTGGGCCTGGAGCACGGGAACATCTGAGCGGGGCCGATCGCCACCCGCAGGTGTGGACGCCCGAGATGGGCACGGAAAAAATGGGCACCTGCCCAACCAAAAAAAGTTGTCCCAAACCAACAGCGGCCGCTGTTGGGCAGGCGGCCTTCTGTCTCAAATAGACACAGGCCGCGACGGCGCGGACAGCGAGTCCTGTTCAAAAGGAGCAGGAACTGGTGTTGGGCGCTGTACCCGTACCCGGTACCCATTCTTTCCGCATCCATCTCGCTCGTGCCAAGCAGGGGCGGAGCAGCGGAGCCGCGATACCGTGGCCCGGAGTTGAGGCCGGGAGGGGCGGTGCGACTCCGAGGGCATCTGTGCGCCCCCCCAGAGAGGGGGCGCCGATGGGGCCGCGCCTGGTACGTCTGCAGCAGCTCCGCCGAGGAGGCCACGCGGCGCCGGCACCGCTCGTCGTCGGGGGAGGCGCCCTCCGCGGGCCCCTCGATGGCGTTGATCTCCTGCGGCGGTCGCCGGGCCGCAGCTTCGCAGTCTCCTCCGCCCCCTGCCTCCGGCTCGTCATGCTGGTGACGAACGGCTCTTTCGTTACCGGCATGGTGAGCTGGTAACGGCAGGCTCTTTCGTTACCAGCCTCCTCCCCGTTCTCCTCCAGGTCATCATGCTGGTAACGAACGAGTCTTTCGGACAGAGGAGGGGGCAGAGGAGGAGAAGGGGGCCCGTGTTGGGGCCCAAGAGGGCCCCAACCCGGACCAAGAGGACCCGAAGGCCGCAAAGGCGTTCCAAGCGGGCCCCGAGACGCCCAAAGATGGCACCAAGACGCCCAGGATTGCCCCAAGACGGCAAGAGGCCTCCGAGACGCCCCAAGAGAGCGCCCCAAGAGCCTTCTCAAAAAGGCCCCGTCAGGGCAATCTCATTGATTTCAAACGGATGTTGAATGACGAATGACTTTGGTGTTCTCCACTTTCCAAGCTCCCGAGGGCCCAGGTCGGGACGCGAGACGTCGAAGACGGTCGAAGAGACAACAGGCCTTCGGAACAAAGCGACGGAGTACTAAACACGCCGACGGGCTCCTAGCCGTGGCGTGCCATTGGTGCCCCTCTCCCTTCTTCCCTCCCGGGAATGGGGAAATCAACAGATCGATATACCGCTACTCCCTGGACCTCCCGCGGTGCGTTCTGAGCAGGTTTGGGAGGCGAGTCCAGCCGTGGCGACGAGGGTAGTGATATCGGTAGGTACCCTTTGCTCTTCCGAGGGAAAAGCCTTCTGGGCCGCTTCCTGGTTTTCAGACCATGCTGTCTGGCGGTCGTTCGGGACGATCCAGGTACCCATAGAATGCTCTCGGAGAGGCGCAGCCGCTGGAGAGCATCCCGAGGTTGGAAATCCTCAACGAACCAACGAACATGCCCGAAAACCTGAAACCTCCACTCCGAGAAAATCGTCCCGAACGAGACCCTCCCTGCCTTTGGTGTCTATTGCATGGGAGCTTACGTGGCCCTCAGCGCTGGTGTGGACCCGATTTGGAACACATTCGGAACCAGATTTGGACCAGCTTCGCCTCTTCCCGAAGGAGACGAGACGAACGACGAGGGCGAGAAGGAACAGGAAGGGCGAGGACGAGCAGGAGGAAGGGCCACGTGCTGTGGCAGTGCGGTCAGTGTGCAATCCAAAAACGGTCCCAACGTCGCAGCCCAAGGCTCCCATGAGCGTGCAGCGAACCTGCCTGCCGCTCCCGTGGACGCCCGACAGGGGTACGGCATCAGTGGGCACGATGCCCGACAGCAAATCTGGCCCAGCACCGACAGCGGCCGCTCTTGGGCAGCCGACCTGCAGTGTCGGATGGACAACGCCCGCACGACACTCGAGCCGGGCGAAAGGGGGGGATAGCAAAGGGGGGGGGTGAGAATCAGCTGGCGTAGCTGATTTTCCTGGCGCCTCGGGCCGGAGGCGGCTATGTAACGAGGAATGGGCCCCTCGGTGGGGCCGAAACCAGCTGCATGCAGCAGATTTCGTACCCCCCCCCTTCCCCAATCCCCCCCCTGTCTTCCGGCCGGCACGACACGGACAGCGAGCCCCGTCCAGAGTGGACGGGAGCTGCTGCGGGTCTCTGCGCCAGGTCTGTCTGCAAGTTACCCACCTTCTCGGCTCTACACGCAGGAGTGACCCTGGGCAAGAGAGGCCTCTGGTAGGAGCGACTCGTCGGGGGACGCAGCAAAGGACCCAACACGGGCGCGCAAGACGCCACCATCGCATCGCATGGCCGGCCATCGTGGGACCCCCCTGGGCCTGCCACGAAGGCAACTCCGGCGAAGGATCACTCATATAGGTGTACAGTCGTCCCGTCTCAGAAGGATGCACGGCAAGGAGGCAGGGGCCTTTGGAGGGCCATGTTTGACGTGTTTCGAGCGAGGCTGGCCAGCGAAAGTCGCTAAGGATGGGCCGAAGGGGCAAGGATGCACGGGCAGCCTTGGGAAGGTTGCCCATACTTACTATGCTTGTGGATGCCACGACAATGGACACCCTAACAGTCCTATCATCGAATTTAAACTGAGTTTCAAATGTCGGGAAATATTCTAAACATGTGTTAGCCATGTTGCTTTACATGTTAAAACATATTTAACACATGTTGTAGACATCTGGAAATGATTTGGCAACACGCTTCCTCTCCACTGATCGTCCTCCACATGACTCTGCGGGTTGACCCTACCGCGCAGTCGAGCTCCGACCGTGCCGACCCGAGGCCGGTCCTGGCGCAGCAGCTCGGCGCGCAGCGCGAGCTCCCTGCGCTCGGAGAGCAGGGCCTCCTCGTGCCAGTCGGCCTTCATGGCGGACACCACGCCGACGACCTCTTGGCGCGCCGCCCGGGGCCCTCTCCTCCCTCCCCCCCCGGCAGGCTTGCTCGCGTCGTGGCAGAGGCCACGACGGCCGCGTTCTGTCTCGGGGCACCCGCGCCCGGGCCCCTGGAAAACCAGCTGAGAGCGGCTCGGGGTGCGAAGCCAGCATGCACTCTCTGGGAAGGAGGCGGATCAGCACGTCTTGACTCTCGGCAGTCACGCCCCGGGCATCCTGGCCAGGGTAGCTCCCCTGGTTGAGGCGGCAGGGTGGGAAAGGCTTTCGAGTGCACCGCCAAAGGGTCAACTGTCAGCTCTGTGCCTGATGGTGTGGATAGTACCTTGAGGCCCTCTGCCACTGAGGCAGAGCGCGAGCCGCTCGGCGGACGACGGCGCCGACCACGCGGCATCCTGAGCGCTGCTGCAGACAGCCTCGGCCAGAGCGTCAACTCATGGATTTAGCCGTGGTGAGAGCAAACTGTTTCGGCTGACAGCTTCAAGCAGCAGGCGTCCAGATGCTTGCCACGAGGTGTTCTGGCATCCCGTGATAATTTCAGACACCTTTCGTGCTGCCGGCCCGGCGATGCGATGCGATGAAAAACCGTCCCCAAGGAAAGAGTCGGGACTTCTGGGGACACTGTATTGAAAAATCGAACACCGGATGACTCGGCTGTTGTGCTGCCTGGTCGGCTTCGCGCTTGGCATGCTCGGTACGATTGTGCCATCTCCGGGCGGATGGCACCCATGATTGTACCATCTTCGCCACCGTCCCTGATACAGCAACGAAGCCAAGGAAGGTCAGACCGCCCCGCCTCTCCAGCGGTGCAGTCCGACGGGCAGCGTGTGAAGCAAGGAAGACCGTGTGACGGACTGGTCTGGGTCTGCTAGCTTCACTCGAGCGTGGAGGAGGACGGAGAGCGACCCAGACCTGGAGCTTTGAGGATCGAGGCTCCCTTCGCCTCTGGAGCCTCTTGGGGGCGTCCGCCGCGGCTGGACCCCCCTCGAAAGTCTGGGCACGCCCCAAAGTCAAGACCGACGATCCGCACGAGTCCGCGAAACTGGGCGTGGAGACGACATGCGGGCGCCCCACTGCGAAAACGTACGGAACTCGGCTCTGCTAATGAAAGCTGCGCGCGTCCCGCTTAGCTTTCAGCGGAAGAGGTTCGCTCTCGCCCTGCAGATCAAAAAGTACCGAACTCGGCGGTGGGGCCCGCCTGCGGGCGCGCCGCCCGGTGCCGCAGGCGAAGCGCCGTACGGTGCGCGGCCCGTGCGAGGGCGGCGAAGCAAACCTTGCACCGCACGCGGGCGTGCACACGGATGCCGCGAAGGTGCTGCTAAAAATGCCCCTGGCCCAAGGTACCCCCAGCTTTCCGCTCTATTTTGGAGCCCCTGGGGCCCTCTGGGCTTCGTGAGGGGCGCCCTGGAACTCGGCGGTGGGGCCCGCCTGCGGGCGCGCGGCCTGGTGCCGCAGGCGAAGCGCCGTACGGTGCGCAGCCCGTGCGAAGGCGGTGAAGCAAACCTTGCACCGCACGCGGGCGTGCACACGGATGCCGCGAAGGTGCTGCTAAAAATGCTCCTGGCCCAAGGTACCCCAGCTTTCCGCTCTATTTTGGAGCCCCTGGGGCCCTCTGGGCTTCGTGAGGGGTGCCCTGGAGGCCGTCTGGGCCACCCCGAGAATCCTAGGGGTACCTTGGGCCAGGGGTACTTCTAGCAACACTCGACCTTCTGGTAGGGCGCAATCCATGTGAGAGGCGTGACGGAATAGGCCTGGGGACCGCATGTGCACACCCTGTCTGAAGCCGCAACTATGGGAGCACCTTCCGTGTGAGAGGCGCCAGGGTTCGCATGCGGGTGCTCTCACTTTATCCGCAGGTGGCGCCCCCTTGAGGGGGGCCATCTGTTCGAGAAGTGTACCAGAGCATGCGTGGGGATTGCATGCACACACCCTCCACTGGTGCCGTAGGCGGTACTGCCTTTGAGATAACAATTTGCTTGACGGGTGTGCCAAAATGGTCGTGGGCACAGCATTTGGGTGCCCTCACTGAAGCTGCAGGTTGAGCTAGCTCCCTCTGACCCAACGAGCCGTGTGCGGGGTGTGCCGACCTGGGGGTGGGGACCGCATGCGGGCCCCCTCACTGGGCCCATAGGTGGAGCTCTGTGCAAGGCCCAGATCCGCATCGGAGGTGCGCCGAAATGAGCGTGGGTACGCACACGAGCGCCCGCGCTGATGCCGCGAGTGAAGCTCCCTATGGGGTGCGATCCTTCTGAGGGTGGCGGGGCGACGTCATGCGAGCTCCTTGCCGGTGCCACATATGAAGCTCCATATTGAGCGCGACCGTTCTTTCTCTACGCCACGGGGGGTGCGCAGGGGGTGGTCCCTCGCCGTGGTCTCTATCCGTCCCAGGGTCGCGGGGCGTGGCAGGCGTGGCACTTTCTCCACGCCACGGGGGGTGCGAATGGGGGTGGTCCCTTGCCGCGCTGTCTATCCGTCCCAGGGTTGCGGGGCGTGGCAGGCGTGACACTCCTTTCCACAAGTGGGCGGTCCCCCACCGAGGTTTCTACCCGTCCCAGGGGGGTGCGCAGGGGGTGGTCCCTCACCGCGGTGCCTGTCCGTCCCAGGGGCGCGGGGTGTGGCAGGCGTGGCACTTTCTCCACGCCTCGGGGGGTGCGCATGGGGGTGGTCCCTCACCGCGTGTCGATCCGTCCCCAGGGTCGCGGGGCGTGGCAAGCGTGGAACTTCCTCCACGCCGCAGGGGGTGCGTAGGGTGTGGTTCCCCACCTCGGACTTTCTATCCGTCCCAGGGGCGCGGAGCGTGGAAAGGGTGGCACTTTCTCCACGCAACGCATGGGGTGGTCCCTTGCCGCGCTGTCTATCCGTCCCAGGGTTGCGGGGCGTGGCAGTCCCAGGGGGGTGCGCAGTGGGCAGGTCTCGCGTTTGCATGTCAACAGTTGCACCAGCAGGGGTTAGCAGGGCGCCGATACTATGTCCGACTGCGCAGAACCCCCTAGGAAGCCATCGCCCGGGCGCGGCTCTTCGACACGACGAGCCCTGCTACGGATTTCCGCATTATGGTGATCTCGTTCACGGGTGCTCAGGCCATGCGCGCGTTCACACAGACTGTCGAAATCGACGGGTGGACGTTGCCATTGCTGTCCAGGAAATGCGCCTCCCGCAGGTACGATGAGAGCTCGGCAACGAATTACCATTCGAACGGAACTATCCAGATCACCTCCGCCGACTTTACGGTGGAGTTCCGATCGCTGCAATTGGATTGATGCGATTCCCTCACGGTCGGAGGCTCTCTGCCGAAGACCGCGTCTCGTCTCCCGCTGTTCCTTCTTGGACACTGTCGGAGGCTTTTCGCCGAAGATTGCATTCCATCGCAATGTGATTCTCTTAGAGTTGATCAGAGGCTTTCCGCCGAAGCGTACGTTTCGTAATGCTTTTCCGTCAGGCGGGCGCCGAGGATCGCTCCCAAGGTGTTCCCAGTAAAACACACATCTCTCTCTCTCTCTCTTCCCATATCCTCTCCACTCGCCCTCCTTTCTCCACCGCGGACCCCCAGAAAAAAATACGAGGACGAGGGGGAAACGGAGGAGTAATGCGGAGGAGGAGGAGGAGGAGGAGGAGGAGGAGGAGGAGGAGGAGGAGGAAGACAAAACATCTGAGTTGATCATGGGGGCCACGTGTGGCAACTATTGGCTGGCAGGTTCTTCACCAGGCGTCGGCACCCAACGGGAGGACGGCGCAGCAGGATGCAACACGGTATGGGAACGCACGCAGCATACCATAAATATGTGTGGTTCCTCGGTAACGTAATTTCAATGTTCCCCTACCCCCCCGCACTGGAAATGGAGGGCAAATTCAGGCTTTCGGGTTGCGCTGGGGTGGTTTGGTGCGTGGTGATTAACCATTCTGGGAAGTAACCATTCTCCAGCACTCCTACGCGGCGCCCTCGCGACTCGTGACGTGACTGGCCCCCTCCCTCCCCTTCCCCCTCTCGGGGGCGGCCAGGAGGGGCGCATCCAAGAGGGGGGCTCAAATCATGGCCGGAGTGATGTGCGCGGCCCAGGGGGGGGGGGGCCAGGGACGTATTGAAATAAGAAAAGGCGCCATGAAATCTGGGGGTCTATCATGGCCCCCGCCATGATCCCCCCCCCCTAGTCATCACCCCCCTCTTGGCCCTCCCCCCTTCCCCCTCCCGGGGCCGCGCCCGTCATTGACAGGGGACTGAGAAAACTGTCCCTCGGCTTCCCCATTGTGAATGCAATCGGCTTGGCCCAACAAACACTGCCAATCCGGACGAAACCTCATACCGATGAATACTGCCACGGCTGCATCGACGAGCTTCCGTCGTCCGGCCTGACGGCGGCACCTGGCGGGAGAGCCTGGCAGAGCCCCCCGGCTTCCCATGTCCGGGTCGCATCCGTTCTCCCGTATACTGAATATAGAAGTAGGTCGGGCATGTCCCCCTACAGGCGGATTTTGGACGAAAAATCAGAGAGACCCACAACATGCTCAAAAGTAGTAGCATAAAAAACCCAGACTCATTTATAAGTACGTAGCACCCCGCAATTGCGGATAAGAGTGAGGGGGCGGGCGCGGGCGACGCGGGCGTCGTCGAGCCTGCGGACCTCGTGGCCCCCACCTTCCCTGTCGATGGTGCTATCCTCCTCCTCCTCCTCCTCCTCCTCCTCCTCCTCCTCCTCCTCCTCCTCTTCCTCGTCCTCGTCCTCATCGTCATCGTCATCCTCCTCTTCTTCCTCGTCCTCCTCCTCCTCCTCTTCTTCCTCGTCCTCCCTCTCCCCCCCTCGTCCTTTCATCATCGTCCTCCCATTGTCGTCCTCCCCCTCATCGGCCTCCATCATCGTCCTCCCATTGTCGTCCATCATCATCATCATCATCATCATCATCATCATCATCATCATCATCATCATCATCATCATCATCATCATCATCATCATCATCATCATCATCATCATCATCATCCCCCTCCTCCCCCTCCTCGTCCTCCTCCTTCCCCTCCTCCCCCTCCTCCCCCTCCTCGTCCTCCTGCTCCTCCTCCTTTTCTTTCTCCACATTATCCTTACATCCTCTCTTCTTCCGCGTTCTCCTCGTCCCCTGTTTACTCCTCCTGCCTCCCCCTCCTTTCCCAAGATAACTGCAACGCAATCCTTTGTTCCACTTTATGCTCCCCGCCTTCTCTGATAAAGGCAACTCGCCAGGGCAAAGTTGCTGGACGGGCTGGTGTGGATGCGCGGGGCTTGAAGAGGTCCTTGCGGGCTCAGACGGCATGCAAAAATCCGCCGCCGCGCTTGTGCGGCATTGGTTTGTTCAGTGAGCGTGGTTTAGGTCGCGGGTGGGTCGCGGGCTCTCCACCTCCACCTGGAAGGAATGCAAATGCAGCCCGCCGCAGGCGCCAACAAACATTGGTTTGTACACTGAACGTGGTTTGGGTCGCGGGTGGGCCGCGGGTTCTCCACCGGGAACGAATGCAACAGATGCCCGCCGCAGGCGCCGAAAAATGTGGTTTGTACCCTGAACGCGGTCGCGGATGGGCCGCGGGCTCTCCACCTGAAACGAATGCAAAAGATGCCCGCCGCAGGCGCCGAAAAATGTGGTTTGTACCCTGAACGTGGTTTGGGTCGCGGGTTGGTCGCGAGTTGGTCACGGGGTGGGTCGCGGGCTCTCCACTTGGAAGGAATGCAAAAAAAGCCCGCCGCAGGCGCCGAAAATGGTGGTTTGTACCTTGAACGTGGTTTGGGTCGAAGGTGGGTCGCGGGTGGGTCGCGGGGTGGGTCGCGGGTGGGTCGCGGGTGGGTCGCGGGTGGGTCGCGGTCGCGGGGTGGGTCGCGGGGTGGGTCGCGGGGTGGGTCGCGGGGTGGGTCGCGGGTGGGTCGCGGGGTGGGTCGCAGGGTGGGTCGCGGGTGGGTCGCGGGGTGGGTCGCGGGGTGCGGTGCGGGTGCGGGGGGACAACACACAACAAACAACAACAACAACAACAACAACAACAACAACAACAACAACAACAACAACAACAACAACAACAACAACAACAACAACAACAACAAACAACAACAAACAAACAACAACAACGAACAACAACAACAACAACAACAACAACAACAACAACAACAACAACAACAACAACAACAACAACAACAACAACAACAACAACAACAATTACTAGCACGTGGGGACACTCCGTTCTCACCAGTGCCAGGGTTTTCATAGGAGGCGGGCAATACCCCCACTTTGTGGGGGGGCCGGTTCAAGCTCTACCAAATTTCCAAACGACTCTTCGCCACCACCCACACCCAGCTTCCCGCCCTATGACGTTCGGACACTTCACTTCGTGGCATGCGGACGACCGTGGCTACTATTCAGGGCCCCGCGGCCGACGACGACGGCGTGCGCGCGCGAAGAAAAAACGAATGTGTCCCGCATGGTATTATTTGACAGGGATGATGGCCCTGGCAGGTGCGCAACCGTTGTTGCAGAAGTTCGAAAAAGTTGCTCGCAAAAGCCCGTTTGACAGAAATGTTTAAAAAGTGTTGGGTTTCCTACGAATCCGCAAGAGCGCGCGGGATGAAATTTTGACAATTTGTTTTAAAAAAACCATTGGATTTTTGATGTTTTTATGTTAAAATCGCTACGAAAACTAAGGTTTTGGAAGGATTTCGTCTTGCGCGCGCGAGTGTCCACTTTACCTTATTTTTTGCAAGGGATTCTTGAAGTTTGGTTATGTTAGAACAAGAAATGTCCACTTTAGCTTATTTTTTGCAAGGGAAACGGGGGACAACAAAACAACCGGATCCGGACACCCGTTTTGCCTGAGACTTCCTCACGAAAATGATGAAAATGTGGCTGCGGCCTAGGCGCGGCGGGGGGGCGCGCACCAGGGGCCCAACAATAATTATTCTTTAGAAGTAAATAATGTTCAACAACAACAACAACAACAACAACAACAACAACAACAACAACAACAACAACAACAATTACTAGCACGTGGGGACACTCCGTTCTCACCAGTGCCAGGGTTTTCATAGGAGGCGGGCAATACCCCCACTTTGTGGGGGGGCCGGTTCAAGCTCTACCAAATTTCCAAACGACTCTTCGCCACCACCCACACCCAGCTTCCCGCCCTATGACGTTCGGACACTTCACTTCGTGGCATGCGGACGACCGTGGCTACTATTCAGGGCCCCGCGGCCGACGACGACGGCGTGCGCGCGCGAAGAAAAAACGAATGTGTCCCGCATGGTATTATTTGACAGGGATGATGGCCCTGGCAGGTGCGCAACCGTTGTCGCAGAAGTTCGAAAAAGTTGCTCGCAAAAGCCCGTTTGACAGAAATGTTTAAAAAGTGTTGGGTTTCCTACGAATCCGCAAGAGCGCGCGGGATGAAATTTTGACAATTTTTTGTTGAAAAACCATTGGTTTTTTGATGTTTTTATGTTAAAATCGCTACGAAAACTAAGGTTTTGGAAGGATTTCGTCTTGCGCGCGCGAATGTCCACTTTACCTTATTTTTTGCAAGGGATTCTTGAAGTTTGGTTATGTTAGAACAAGAAATGTCCACTTTAGCTTATTTTTTGCAAGGGAAAACGGGGGACAACAAAACAACCGGATCCGGACACCCACGTTTTGCCTGAGACTTCCTCACGAAAATGATGAAAATGTGGCTGCGGCCTAGGCGCGGCGAGGGGGCCGCGCACCAGGGGCCCCAACAATAATTATTCTTTAGAATAAATAATGTTCAACATCGAGAATCGGCACCGCGGAATTCCACTTCAGCCACGCACCCAGGGACAGTGAATGACCGTTCGGCCCCCTCACTCTGATTTGGGAATGTTCCCCCTGTAAGGGGACAGGCCCAAAGGATGGAAACAACGGTCCCGTGGGACAGGCGCTCATTTTTGGCGGGCCCTGGGGGGGGGGCGGGGAAACGTGCGCCTTCCGTGCCCCTCGTGGGCCCCAGCGAGCCCCGTCAGAGCACACAAAAATGTGTGCACCTTTTCATCGCCCCCCCCCCCACCCACCACATGTTACCCTGACCTTCCAGGAGGGCTGAAAAATAACACCTGGACCTAGATGCCCAACTCCAGTCGAGGCTTTAAGCAGTCCAGATAGGTCTATAGGTCTGGAGTGGCACTTCTGAGCACTCTGGAAGGTCAGGGTATTTCTCCCCCATTACTCGGCGCCCAGATGGACGGGGAACCTGCTGACCTGGGTCGATCCAAACCTGGGTCAGTCGGGCTCCAGCGGGTCCTGCAAGATCCTGCAGGATCCTGCACCCAAGCTCGGACAAATGCGACCCTGACTCAACAGGTTCCTGCCAAATCTGGCGCTCCGACTGACCCCCTCTTGCATTCACCCCCCATCTCTTGAGCCCCAGTTGTTGGCGGCGCGCACAAGGGGGGAGGCAGGAGGGAGGGCTTCTTAGAAGAGGGCTGCTGCTTAGAAGGCGCCGGCCTTACAGCTACAGATCAGGGCCGCCTTCCAAGAAGCAGGGGTGCTTCTGAGAAGCCCTTCCCCCTCCCCCTCACTCGGCGGCGGACAAACCTCCATTCAGTGAACCTCCCATTAGTGAAAACGGCCTAGGACCGAAACCGACGGACCTGGACCCGCAAAAACGACGGCCGCGACGCCCTCTAGCGAACCGAAACCGGCCAATTCCTTAATCGACGCGTCAGGGTAGGAGGTCTATCAACCTCCGGCCTCTGCGCGTGGCTGAGAATTTTGGACGCCCAAATGGGTACGGAAAAAATTGGCACAATGCCCAACAACAAATGTTGTTCCAAACCAACAGCGGCCGCTGATGAGCGCTGCCTTCTGTCTCAAATGGACAGAGGCCGCGGCGGCGCGGACAGCGAGTCCTGTTCAAAATGAACAGGGACTGCTGTTGGGCATCGTACCCACCCTTTCCGTACCAACTTCGCTCGTGCCGAAGAATGGACGCTGGACGCCTGGCGCCGGCGCCCGCCGAGCCGGTGGAGCTGAGCGGGCGGCCCAGGCGACGTGGCCGTCGAGCAGGGGGCCGTCGGCGCCTTGGGGGGGGGGACCGCCCGCGACTCCCTGGGCCTCGGCGATAGCCGCCTGTGTCTCTGGGGGCGCAGATTTTTCCGGAGGCGGGGCAGGGAGTTCCGCCCTGCTCTCCCAGACCCCCTCGAACCCCCTCTTCCTCCTTCTCCCCCTCCCCCTCCCCCTCCTCCTCCTCCTCCTCCTCCGCCTCCTCCTCTTTTGGACCTGCCCAGCCGAGGGCGCTGGCTTTGTAGGTGCTGGTTCTAATTTTCTTGCCGAGGCTCGAAGGGAGTTCCTCGGTCGTTGTCCCCCTCGAACCAGGACACAACAAATCACGGCGGGAGGGAGTTCCCCCATCTTCGGGAGTCTGAAAGTCGGGCGGAGACTTCCGCCCTGCTTTCCCATACCCCCTCGACTCGAGTCAGGAAACAAACACAGCGGAGGTATTGTCCCCTATGTTCGGGGGTCTGGGAGTACAGGGCGGAAGTACCGCCCAGCTTTTGAGGCTCCTTGGATACCGATTGCCGCCCTGCTTTGCTGTCGCTGATTCCGCCATGCCCGTGCGCGAATGTCCGCCCTGCACATTCTGGAGCGAGATGTCTGCCCTACTCCTTCGCATCGGCCGGGTACTTTTCTAACGCAACCTTGACACGGAAACTCAACCAACGGCGGATCTGAAGTCTGGCGGGACCCTCCCCTCACTTCGAAGTTTCTGGAGCTTGCAGCATCAAGGGGCCCTCCCTCGTTTGTGTCAGAATCGCGGCGGCACGTTTTTGACAATCCTTGGCTTCTAGGGGCCCCCACCGGGCCCAGGGACCCTCAAACCGGCTCGGCGCGAGAAAAACACCAATGGGACGCACAGAGACATGCTGCTACTATATGTCCTCCTTGGAGGCGCGCGTCCGACCCGAACATATGGTACACCCATCTTGTAGTATATCGTTTCCCGAGCGGTGTGGCCAGAAAGCGCCCGCCACGACGCATATACTATGAGATTTCTCGGTGCGCGCGTCGCCCCTGGGGGGGCGACGCACATGTAGTATCAGTATGTTGGGGTGACGCCGAACCAAGTCGGAGCTCTGTGTCCGCCTCGAGGGCGACCTCCCAGGTCCACCCCAGGCGTGCAGGATCGAGGCGGAGGGTCGACCGAGGCTCGTTTTTTCTGGATGCGCCTCTCGTCACTCCTGCTCGGGCGCCCGGGCGTGGCTGACCTGCTGCCGCGGTCGAAGTTCCGAAGTGGTCCTTCTTCGAGGGCCCTGATTTAGGTCGGGCATGTCCCCCTACACTCGGATTTTGCAAGAAAAATTGAAAATAGTACAGAAATGACCCATTCTGATCGAACATATTTAAAATACATCGTCCATAGACTATTGTATTTACCTGACAGCGAAGACTGATAGGTTTCTAGTAGGATCAAAAGAGAGCATCTTGACGCCCCAAGGGGGTCTGGGCGCGATCCGGGGGAGGATGCCGGGGACTTTTTTTTAGCCAACAGTAACGCACTTCGTGGACTTCGAGTTCCCAGAACTCCATTCCTGGGCATGATTTTGAATGCCCGGAGCCAACTGTAGGCCACTTCGTGGTCTTCGAGTTCCCATAACTCCATTCATGGGCATGATTTTGAATGCCCGGAGCCTACTGTAGGCCACTTCGTGGTCTTCGAGTTCCCAGAACTCCATTCCTGGGCATGATTTTGAATGCCCGGAGCCAACTGTAGGCCACTTCGTGGCCTTCGAATTCCCAGAAACCCATTCCCGGGCCACATTTTGAATGCTGAGGCAGGCTGATGCTGAGGCTGAGGCAGGCTGAGGCTGAGGCTGGCTAAGGCTGAGGCCGAGGCTGAAGTAGGCTGAGGCTGAGGCTGAAGCAGGCTGAGGCTGAGGCTGAGGCAGGCTGAGGCCGAGGCTGAGGCTGAGGCAGGCTAAGGGTGAGGCCGAGGCCGACGGCAGACTGAGGCTGAGGCTGAAGTAGGCTGAGGCTGAGACAGAGGCAAGCTGAGGCTGAGGCTGAGGCAGGCTGATGCTGAGGCAGGCTGAGGCTGAGGCTGAGGCTGATGCAGGCTGAGGCTGAGGCAGGCTGAGGCTGAGGCCGAGGCTGAAGGCAGACTGAGGCTGAGGCTGAAGCAGGCTGAGGCTGAGGCTGAGGCAGGCTGAGGCTGAGGCTGAGGCAGGCTGATGCTGAGGCAGGCTGAGGCTGAGGCTGAGGCTGATGCAGGCTGAGGCTGAGGCAGGCTGAGGCTGAGGCCGAGGCTGAAGGCAGACTGAGGCTGAGGCTGAAGCAGGCTGAGGCTGAGGCTGAGGCAGGCTGAGGCTGAGGCTGAGGCAGGCTGATGCTGAGGCAGGCTGAGGCTGAGGCAGGAGGCTGAGGCTGAGGCTGAGCTGAGGCTGAGGCTGAGGCTGAGGCTGAGGCAGGCTGAGGCTGAGGCTGAGGCTGAGGCTGATGCTGAGGCAGGCTGAGGCTGAGGCTGAGGCTGATGCAGGCTGAGGCTGAGGCAGGCTGAGGCTGAGGCCGAGGCTGAAGGCAGACTGAGGCTGAGGCTGAAGCAGGCTGAGGCTGAGGCTGAGGCAGGCTGAGGCTGAGGCTGAGGCTGAGGCAGGCTGATGCTGAGGCAGGCTGAGGCTGAGGCTGAGGCTGATGCAGGCTGAGGCTGAGGCAGGCTGAGGCTGAGGCCGAGGCTGAAGGCAGACTGAGGCTGAGGCTGAAGCAGGCTGAGGCTGAGACAGAGGCAGGCTGAGGCTGAGGCTGAGGCAGGCTGATGCTGAGGCAGGCTGAGGCTGAGGCTGAGGCTGATGCAGGCTGAGGCTGAGGCAGGCTGAGGCTGAGGCCGAGGCTGAAGGCAGACTGAGGCTGAGGCTGAAGCAGGCTGAGGCTGAGGCTGAGGCAGGCTGAGGCTGAGGCAGGCTGAGGCTGAGGCTGAGGCAGGCTGAGGCTGAGGCTGTGACTGCGACTGCCGTTGCCACTGCGACTGTCATCGCGAATGCGACTACGACTGCGAGAACAGCAGAATTCTACAACTGTATTCTCATCTGAATCTTAAGGGGAATGCTTCCAGATATGCTCCTACACATCGCTGTTAGGTTGCTTTGCCGGGATAATTTGTTGAGTGTTTTTAGATGTTCCTCCTGTAGTGGGACAGGCCCGACTTGAGCCTTGATTGTAGCTCAGGCGACCCTCGTGCAGCTGGCGACGTGATGCGAAAACCAAAACTCCTCCCTGGGAAGAGGTCGTCGAGATGCCCACTGGCCGCGCACATTGCGCAATCCGGGGGGTCTGACGTGTCGAAACGTCCGAGGGTCGAGGACCATGGACCCCCTTATCGCCCATCTATCGCTGATGCGGGCCCGAGTGCCCACCCCTCCCAGGCGCATGCTGTCTCGCCATCTGGGGGCCCATCGCTGATCTGTCGGCGACGCGTCGCCAACTCAGGGTCGACGTTTCCCTCTCTGAGCTAGCGCTGCCCACCAGGGTTAGGTCGGGTATGTCCCCCTACAGGCGGATGCGGAACGAAGCATGAAAAGTACACACAAAAAAACCAAACAACTTCTCAAAATAAGTCGAAAATCGTGTCCATAACTATTCAAAAATAGCCGAACATCGTCTCCATACTATTATTGTGACTATCGTTGAATCTTCTCCCTTGTAGGGGGACAGACCCGGCTTCACACCAGGGGGGGGGGGCGCGAGGGGAGGGGGTTGGGCTTCTGAGCGGGCGGCGGGGCCCCTCCGTGAGGGCAGGGGGGGCGGGGCCTCCTACCTGGCCTACCTGGCCTCCTGGGACGCCCCCTACCTGGCCTCCGGGGATGTGCAAAACTGGGCAGCCTCCTCGTCAGCGGTTGTTACCTAACAGCGAAGACTGATATGTTTCTGGTAGGGTCAAAAAAAAACATCTGGACGCCCCAAGGGGGTCTGGGCGCGATCCGGGGGAGGATGCCGGGGACTCTTTTTTTAGCCAGCAGTAACGCACTTCGTGGTCTTCGAGTTCCCAGAACTCCATTCCTGGGCATGATTTTGAATGCCCGGAGCCAACTGTAGGCCACTTCGTGTTCTTCGAGTTCCCAGAACTCCATTCCTGGGCATGATTTTGAATGCCCGGAGCCAACTGTAGGCCACTTCGTGGTCTTCGAGTTCCCAGAACTCCATTCCTGGGCATGATTTTGAATGCCCGGAGCCAACTGTAGGCCACTTCGTGTTCTTCGAGTTCCCAGAACTCCATTCCCGGGCCACATTTTGAATGCTGAGGCAGGCTGAGGCTGAGGCTGAGGCAGGCTGAGGCAGGCTGAGGCAGGCTGAGGCTGAGGCTGAGGCGAGGCTGAAGGCAGACTGAGGCTGAGGCTGAAGCAGGCTGAGGCTGAGGCTGAGGCAGGCTGAGGCTGAGGCTGAGGCAGGCTGATGCTGAGGCAGGCTGAGGCTGAGGCTGAGGCTGAGGCTGATGCAGGCTGAGGCTGAGGCAGGCCTGAGGCTGAGGCCGAGGCTGAAGGCAGACTGAGGCTGAGGCTGAAGCAGGCTGAGGCTGAGGCTGAGGCAGGCTGAGGCTGAGGCTGAGGCAGGCTGATGCTGAGGCTGAGGCTGAGGCTGAGGCTGATGCAGGCTGAGGCTGAGGCAGCTGAGGCTGCGCCGAGGCTGAAGGCAGACTGAGGCTGAGGCTGAAGCAGGCTGAGGCTGAGGCTGAGGCAGGCTGAGGCTGCGGGCTGAGGCAGGCTGATGCTGAGGCAGGCTGAGGCTGAGGCTGAGGCTGAGGCAGGCTGAGGCTGAGCTGAGGCAGGCTGAGGCTGAGGCAGGCTGAGGCTGAGGCCGAGGCTGAAGGCAGACTGAGGCTGAGGCTGAAGCAGGCTGAGGCTGAGGCTGAGGCAGGCTGAGGCTGAGGCTGAGGCAGGCTGAGCTGAGGCAGGCTGAGGCTGAGGCTGAGGCTGATGCAGGCTGAGGCTGAGGCAGGCTGAGGCTGAGGCCGAGGCTGAAGGCAGACTGAGGCTGAGGCTGAAGCAGGCTGAGGCTGAGGCTGAGGCAGGCTGAGGCTGAGGCTGAGGCA